ATAATAATAGAATATATCAATGATATAATAATAATAATAATAATAATAATAATAATAATAATAATAAAATGATATTAATTACAAAATCTTTGGTATGCTTATAACAAATTGATTCAAATTTGTTGTGGTATTATCATTTACACATGTGCATAATTTACTGTAAAATTTACTAATTTTTGTAGGACAGTGGCGTAAGAATGGATAGTAAAGTGGGATTTTTTTACCCCAACTTCTACGCCAATGACCTAATAATCATTTGGGATTCAGTTTTAGATTCTGTTGACAATTCTACATAAAAAAGGTATACTTGTTGAAAATTGGTATAATGTATCGTTTTACCAAAAATCTCAGTTAAATAGGAGACCGTTCTTCTAATAAGAAAGACAAACACCAAAATATTTCACATCTTTAAAATAAAATGACATTTCCTCATAACAGATAATTCTATTATTGTTTAGTTGTTTTTTTTCAAGGCAATCGTTGTGTACGGATATTGTAATGGACGCACAGCGCAGATTTAAAATTAATATGTGAGTGTAATTTTTTTAAAAAAATTATATCTGTTTGAAACAAACGGACCGTTGAATGAACAAGGATGCCCATAATTGCTACAGAATAGCACAAATGAAATTTTAGAGGAGGTGCGATTGAACCTCACTGTAGCGTAACAAAAAAATAAACTCAGAGGAGGAATTCACCACATTAAGAATGCAATAAATAATACACAAGGGATTAAATTTAGAATTTACCAGTCGTTTCGCAGATGTAAAGGCGTATTATTTAATATTGTTTTAAATTCTAAGTTAATGCGTGACATTATAATAATTTAATTAATTTAAAATTTATTTCCTTTCCTTAAGAAACTAAATTTCTTATAAGAAAGACGGTCTTCCATTCAACTGAGATTTTCGGTAAAACTATACACTATAACGATTTTCAACAAGTATGCCTTTTTTATGTGGAATTGTTCACGGAATCTAAAAATGGACCCCAAATGATTATTAAGTCATTGCCGACGAAGTTGGGGTAAAAAAATCCCACTTTACAACCCGTTCCGATGCCACTGACCTACAAGAATTTGTAAATTTTATAATAAATTATGAACATGTGTAAATGTTAACACGACACCAAATTTGAATCAATTTGTTATAAGCATACCAAAGGTTTCGTAAATAATATGATTTTAACAACCGACCAATACGGCCCTGTACAGTGAAAACAGTGAGACTTTGCTTTATAAGGCAATTCTGAATTATTTACTGAGTGCTATTTGTGGTTGAAGTTTGAATCATTTGAATTGAAACGCCCTGTATACAGGGTGAGTTAGAAAGAATGGGTTAACAGTAAGCTGGAGATACTAGACACCAAAATATTATGTTTGAGCTCACCATGCATTATACAAATGTCGCTAGTTTAAGAAATACATATAGGGTGTTCAAAGTTTAAATTTTATTCTGAAATTTCTCAATAATTCGGAAAGTTTTGATAGCAAGACTCTGAAAATTGGTAGTGTTGAGTTTTTTGGTGTGAGAATGCTATCAAAACTTTCTCTGTTATTGAGAAATTTCAAAATAAAATTTTATTTCTTAAACTAGCCGACATTCGTATAAGGCATGATGAGCTCAAACATAATATTTTGGTGTCTAGTATCTCCAGTTTAGTGTTGACCCATTCCTTCTGACTCACCCGGTATACAAGGCTATTTTACAACACCAAATAAACCACTTATTTTCATCAATTTTCTCATGGTTTTTACACGTGGTGATTTCAAATAAAAACGAAATTTAAGTAACAACTGTTACGAAATATACATTGTAGGATAATAACATCGATTAATCGTTGTTTATAACTTATTCTAAGGTCACAGATTGTATTTGCTTGAGAAATATTCGAAAATAATTGCAAATTATCGACAACTTTTTAATTATTATTTAGAATGTATTACAGCATTAAAATAAAAATGACATAGGTATCCAGAAAAATGTTATTGTATTAATAGAGGTTAGCCTCGAAATCTAGTTGAAGACGCGAAAACAGAATAGTAGGATAAAGTGGAACATAGCATTTTGATATTTCTAATTCATCGTACGCACCAATTTAAGTAAAATTCTTAGAGATTGTTTATGTGACATGAACAGTTATTTAATGTGAACTAACATCATTTCATATTAAAAACAAATTTTCCCAATAAAACAGTTATTTTTTCTTTGAAACGTAATAGAGTGAAATGTACCACTCGAATATCCAAAATACTCAGTGGTGTCGAAATTGGGTATTCACAGTAACTGTGTCGCCTAGTACCTTTGCTACAGATTGATGCAATTACCTGTTTATTGAATTTTTATTATTAATTAATAGGGATAATTCTGTAGAAAAGGTAGGTATTACTAAAATCAGAAATAAGATATTATTCTTGGCAAATGCTTATTAAAAAAATTACATGTCGCATTTACTCCTATAGCGAAATCACAATTTGTAAAAAGTATTTATAAAAACATAGATTTATTAGTACACTCTGTCTTACAATTTATTTCCCAATATAAGCTTACCTTGATGCGTGACAATAAATAAATGTTCATCGTGCACAGCTTGATTGTTCTGCTGGCTTAGTAGTCTTTGGGCACCCAGAATCTTGTCCAACATCAAGTACTCAGCATAAAGCATACCCGCTTCCTCTCCAAGCTGTTCTCCATCTTGTGCAGCATCTCTAAAACACAAGCATTATCTCAGTCTTAAACTAATCAGTGCTTAATCGTTCGTAAACGCATGTTTTTTATCTTACTTCCCAACCCCCCTCAGTATTCAGAACTTGCGTTTTATATGGTATTCTTAAGAAAATAAAATATTTTCAAAGCTAATTAGAAATGTAGAGTATCTAATTTTTCCTAACAAAGCTTCTTTAACATAACCAAAGTTCAGATGAAAGTAGTTTAAATTAACATCCTATATAATAACTTCAAATGGTGTTTTCTGATAGTCACGTCTTGCTAGTAAAATTACACTTTAAACTCTTGCGCTGCATAGAAGTCACGTAGCAATGAACGAATGAATGCTTTGCATAAAGTTCATACACCGAAGGAAAGTTTAACGGCGTGTGCTTGTACTCTTATTTGGTAGGGCTTCAATCGTTGAATTAGATTAACTAAGAGGGTGTTTTAAAATATCTTACCCTGACTAGTAAGAAACAAACAAAACTCATAGATTTGCATTTCCTTTCTAGAATTATCATTTACCAATAAAATGACAAGTGCAGCAAGTACATTTAATCAGAATAGGAAACAGCGTTCAATATGTCGCATGTTTTTAATTGCATTCAGGCAAGAAGTGATTTTGATAGAAAACTCAGGTTTTTAAATAAAAATTGTACATTTTTTATTGATTCGCAAAGTGTACAGGATGGGGTTTTGTATTGAATAGCATACTGGTACATACGCACTCTTTTCCATGACCGTTTTGTATAAATGCGGCTGAATTTCATTGACACAGGGCTCAATTTCCTCCTCCAAGGCGTGGGTAGTCGTGGGCTTGTTGGCATAGATCTTAGACCTCAAAAACCCAAAAGACCAAAAGAAAAAAGTACAACGACGTTATATCGCTTGATCTGGGTGGCCAATTCTAATCACCAAAACGGGAAATTACACGACCAGGAAATGGCTCATGCAGTAATTGAATTGTTTCTCGGGTTGTATGACATGTGGTACAGTCTTGTTGAAACCACATCTCTCCTACATCTATACCTTGCAATTTAGGTACAGAAAATTGGACTATCATGTCGTGATAGCGAGCACCATTAATTGTTACTGCCTGACACGTTGTGGATGCATTTGTTTCTCAACAATCACGCGTGAATTTTCTGATGCGATGATTTTGTCGATTAACGAAGCCATCAAGATAAAAAAGTGTTGTTCCTGAGAATACGCTATTGCGAGCTTCTTGAAATACCCAATACTTATAAAGTATTTCAAGGCTGATTCTGCAGGATATAGATTTTTTCTATCTTTCAACAAGGGGATGATTGAAAGAAGATTAATTTCCACAGTGCCGAATTAATGTTCCTGGACTATCATCAACACTCTCACGAACTGCTTCCATGTCTTGTATTGAACGACTTATTAAAGGATGGCGGCCAGAGTGTTGAATATCACTAATTGATACAGTCGACCACCACATTTTGTACGAACCGTAGATACCAAACCTTCATTATTTTTAAAATATTGCTCAGCAATGAAAACGCGATGTTCTTTCGTGTGGCGCTCATTTTTTAATAACTCTGAACTGTGAACTCACGCTGTCTTTTTTGTTTCGTTGGTAACACTTTACCGCACAAATGGTGCAAAATTTAAATCTTGCGTACCTAAATTTTGAGACACCCGTTATAACAGTGTATAAATCTTAGTAACGAGCGTTCAAATAAAAACGTGGTCGAAGTTGGCTCTGACACATTGGACGTAGGGAGTAGCTTATAGCGACCAACTTAACCTCATTTCTCAACGAGCTGTATAGCAGCTGTGAGTTTCAATAACGTTAATGACTATATAACTTTATTTTAAAGAATAATCGTGATAACAATAACAAACAATTAAAGGAGCTGCGGAAAGCGTCCCCCTCCTTTTTATAACAATAAATTAAAGCAGCTGCTGAAAGTGTCCCCCTCCTTGTTCCAAGACATTTTCTAAGATGCTCGGGGTATTGTTAATTTCACGAATCTTTTCTATAAGTCGAGCCTGCAGATGGTTTAAATCAGGAATAGGCAGTTCAAAAAAAGTGTTTTTAAGGTAAGGCCACACGGCGTTATATCACATGACCTCGGTGGAAATTCATGTTCAGCATTGAGACTTATTAGTCGATTTTGGAAAACTTCCCTCAACATATTCATCGTCTCGCCTGCCGTATGTGCCCTTGCGCCATCTTGTTGAAAGTAAAAGTTTGTAATTTCGTTTTCTTCCAGCTGGTTAACAAAAGGAGCGATAATTTCTTCTCTATACCTTTGCGCAGTAAGAGTACCATTAAAAAAAATAGGTCCATAAATCCTCCTTCTATCGAGAGCACACCAAACTCCAATTTTTTGAGCGTGTAGAGGGCCCTCGACAAAAAAGTTATCTGGTTTTTCAGAAGACCACATTCTCATATTCTGTGAGTTTACGTAAACACTTAAATGAAACCAACCTTCATCAGAAAAAAAGCTAATATTATGAAGTTCACCGTAGTTGTTTAAAAACCATTCACAAAATACAGCCCGTCGCGGAAAATCAATTTCATGAAGTTCTTGCTGACAAGTTAAACGATAGGAGAACAAACGCAAATCTTTTTTTAACACTGTGTGGCAGGTACCGACTGATACTCCCACCATTTGTGATAAAACACGTACAGAAGTTCTTGGCGCATTTTCCATTATTTGTTGGACATTTTCTTTTAATTCTTCAGTCCGCTTTTTAGGTCGACCGCTTCCTTCTTTTCTTGTTACACTGCCCGTTTCACGAAAAACATTAACACAACGCTGAACTGCACTTTGAAAAATTTTGTACTCAACAACGCCGGGAAATTGATTTTGAAATTCTATGAAACATTCCTCAATAGAATACTTCCATATTCCATCAATCTTGCGTCCATTTCTAAAGTAGGACTCTATGATAAACACTTTTTGTTCTTGAGAAAACACCATTTTAAACGCTTTTTAAAACGAAAATATTCAAATTGATAGCGGCGATATAGCGCTTTGACAGATGACGTTTAAGTTCATTTGCTATACGCTACGCCCTACGTCCAAATTTTCAGAACCAACTTGACCACGTTTTTATTTGAACGCTCGTTATATGTAAGTATAAAATTGCATCCACTAGTATTTTAACAGCATTTTTCTGAAACAAATTACATTTATCTACCTCATACAAAAATTTCGTCAGTCAACTGCAAATATAATATAAATTTACCACATCCTTTTCAGAAGGCAAAATCTTAAATTTTACCTCTAAATATTTATTTTTTTTTTATTATTCTTTTCAAAGCAATTTCTTTCTGGACATTGTTTAAACTCATCACTAATAGTAAAAGAATACCATTCTATAAACATTTTAATTTAAATGATAATAAATAATGAATGAATTGTAACAATATGATGTAATTAATCATCTAAAAAAATAATATTTCCTTGTTGCTAATGTTGATTAAAATTTTTATCTAACCACATTTTTCAATAAATCTAAGATCATTAAATCCAGTATAATCTGCTTTCTTATTAATAACTGTTAGTCTTACACTAATTAATATGATTTTACAAAAAAAGACCAATTAATAATAGCAACATTCATTTGTAAGTTTATCACATTTACATACGCATGTAATATTTCAAAATATTAAACAATTTCTTAGGGAATGATTAAGGCAATATTTTAAATTAAATAATATCGTTCACGTTGTTGAATAAATTTCCCACTATAGTTACAATAAATCATTGTAAAATCTAAAAAAAATAATGCCTAAAAGTGTATAAAAGTTACTATGCGTTTCAGTAACCTAAACATATTGTTTTATTTAATATAAGTATTATTTACTCCAGAAATTTATTATTTTTAATATCACATGTAACTGTTTTAAAATTGGCAAATAAAGAATATTGAATTAGTAAATATATTATTAAGCTGAGATATACTCCCGTCATTGCGTACATACTTTTTTAAAAAACACATTGTAAGGCCATGATTCAGTTTCATCATAAAAATTCTGATAAATAAAAATCAAAACAAAATTGTTGTTAATAAACACATCACAATTTACATGTTATCATAATTTTCTAACCGAAATATAATTTTTTTGCGCAAATAAAGAATTTGTATTGTTAGATAGAAATGTATTTGATTCGAAAATTTTCATTTATTGGATGTTCCCAGTAAATTACTGAAAATTTTCTTGTTTATTAGACATTAGGTATTTCCTTCTCAGAAATACCAAATACATTATAGCATTTTACTGTTATTTTGACTAAAAGAGAAATATAGAAGTAAATTGATTTTTTCAGTGTTTTCGTTAATTAATATGATCGGCATTTGCAATAATGTTGAAAATTTGATAATCTATTAGAATCTTTGTTAAATTAATGAAATATATTAAATAATTGGATATAATTTAATTACATTTTTTAATAATAAAATCCAAGATATATGAGACTATTTTTTTTCTTGAAATCGGCGGGAAATTCGAAAATTAGGAATATTTTCTTTAAGAAGTCTATTTCTTCCTGTGCTTTTTCATAAAGTCTTAAAAAGTACGCAATTTTTTTCTACATATATACATACAGAATTTGAAAATACAATCAAAATTCCTTATGATTTTATGCAAAAAGAGTAATTTTTATGTGTTCAAATGGAGAAGAAATTAGTTTAAAATGAGCTAACTAATATACCAAACAGCTTGTTGCCAATTAAGAAATTATTAAAAATATAGTTGTTAAGTTTAACTTTAGAAGTCAATAATATATTGTACCAGTTAAGAAACACATAAATAATATTTTTTAGGATTTAATATGTAGGTATGTAAAGTTGTTTCCAGATATTCTTAACCAATATGTCAATGATAAAAAAATGACGGTAATGTAATTTGACAGTTTGAGAAACGATTCTATTTTATTAAAAAGTTATTTGTAACCTATTTTTATTTCTGAAAAATTAAGTATGCTTTGTCAACTAAAAAAATTATTTTTAGTAGGTAAAATGTGGGTAAAATGCTTTTTTCGTAAAAGATATTAAAACATTTCATTAGGAAAAATTGTGGAAAATTATCATATACCAAATTCTGTACCTGTCGGTTCTGATATCAATAAACATAGAATAGAATAGTATGAAACTCAGTCATTCTAGTTCAGAGTAGTGAAAATTACAATTGTCATATTTTGATAATGTAGCATGGGCTCCATATTATTTTTTAAGGAATGTTTTCTAGGCGCCCTAAGAGAACTTTTAAGAAATTTCGGAAAAAAATTGTACAATAAAAATTAAATTTGGGGTTGCCTACTCTGGGATCTCCAAAAAGATTGTTAATGATTACGAATTTTCCATCAATGCAGATCAAAAGCAAATATTATATATATTATTAGTATGAAATGCTACTAAAAGTTATATAAATCATCAATTTCAAACAGCATTACCATAAAACAACCTTGATAGTAATACAGTGAAACTTACACCGTGTTACGTTAAACCTAATCATTCATAAAGAATTAAAAAAAAAACTACCGCTATTTATAGAAAGGCTGTAAAATATACACTAACCTACATTTTTTAACATTAATACGTACCAAATTTCACTAAAATTAATCATTTATCACTCAAAAATATTATGTTAATTAGCAATGTGGATAAACTAGAACATATAAAATTCTAAATATTTTGTTATTTAGAAAGCCATAATTCCAATATAATTATTTTACAAAAAACTCTGTAGCCAAATTTTGATTATCTTCCTAATCAAAATTTTATATTTTTTTTAGGATCTGAATTAGGTCAAGGAGTATAACAAAATACCACTATTACATTTGTCACACTGATGATATCGCGATATAATGGACGGAACGTCGACAAAGTGTAGGTAATAGTGGTTATTTTTTATATTAAATTTTTAGATGTACAAATAATTACTTTTTTTCAGAGCAGTCGAAAATCTCATTAACAATAAATTAAAAATATATCTTACAGAAATAATTTTTATTATTTTTATGCAAAGGCACTGTCTACTTCTGTAGTTGCGGTTTAATTATTAAAATGTTTAATTAGGACGAATAATAATTTGATACATATTTAGTAAATTTATATAGAAGCTTCAGAAGTTTTAAATACTAGAATAAATGAATACAATAAAACAGAACATCAAACCTAAAAAATCGTATTTTTGATTTATTTAATAAACACAAAATTGTTTATTTCTAAGCGTCTTAATTGTTACAAAAATTTTCGTTTATGATATGTAAAATGTTATTCGCAAAGCAACCGATATTCAGCAAATATTTCTTTCATTTGAATGTCAAAAATCTTTGAATTATCCATAATAAATCTACTCTGTTAAAATATACACTTTCTAGAGGAACAAGTATATCGCAAAATGAAAAAATCTCTACTTACTTTGACCTCACTGGGCAGCTCATATTTTGGTTGATCTTGCTTATTTTACTTTGAAGTATCAACTGAAGTTGGAATGAAGTCCGCGTGCCTCTCTCTCTAGGATCGTTGACTTAATCAACTTGACATAATATGTTACAGAAAAATGGTCTCTATATCACGCGAAATATCAAGTAACTACGTTGCGATATGGTAATTATGCAACTTCTAACATAAGTAGATCAGAATCGTGTTTGTTATTATAAATTAGTGTTAAGATATCTTACACTGTAAAGAATTTTGTGACAGTATATTTAATTTAATTCATTAAACTATTACTTATATCTCTATGACAGCTTTAAGAGCAAAAAAAACAAAAAATAAAAATTTAACAAATATCGTGGAAGCAAAAGATAATTTTGTTAAAAGGACTAGCTGTATTTTAATAAACAAGATAAATATTTCTATCATACTTTTAAAGTTGAAGTATGTACTTACCGATTTTATAACATTTTTATAGAAAGTATCAGTATCATATAGGTATCTTTTTAATGAAGTAAAGAAGAACAAAAATTTGTCTTGAATCCTAAGAATATGTCATATTTCATCTTTCTTTCGGAAGGAATATTCAATAAAGCGGAATTATCGAGAAAATTACTTTCCTTGGTTCGTTCAATTTAAAATTTTAGGTAGCTCTAAATACAAGTAACTACTACTATTTCACATAAAGTTATTTGAAATGTCTCTTGTATATTAAAACGTATCCTCAATCCCTTCATTCTGCATATTAATTTTTGTAATAATATTCGTAGGTACCTATATGCTAGGAAAAGCCATTGAACAAAAGATGTTTAATAAATTGTTGGAAGAGAGCTGTGAAATTGTTTCTAATTATTTTTAGATAGTCATGTTTCATAACACACTTGATTTACCTATCCATTAAGTATGGATGCTCTTTACAAAATAGCGTAAGTGGAAAAATGTTTTGGGTCAGATTTAATACGGCTAAGGCCTTCAACCCCATATACCTGATGTATTTTCTATTGAAACTGCAGGAAAGACTAGCAGGATAACACTTGCAGAGGCATGTTAAAGAGAAAGCGCTTATGGTACTGGCATTACTATAGAAACGACATTAAATTCAGTAATGTATAAAATTGAAAAAACTATTAGTTGAAAGGAACTCGTTGTCCCACCCTGCTTGGATATAGTAGGAGCATTGGATAACTTTTTTTATGATTGCGTCAATGGGACGCTTGAGAAACGTGGCCTATCATCCACCAGGAGCGATGTTTCTCATCGTCAAATTTACCCCACCTTCAATGAGACGACAATAGTTTCTGATATTTCTTACCTTGTCTCATGCTCTACGATTCTTCCAAGTTTTCAGTGAAGACCAAATCTTCATACAAGGCTACGTTTGTAATCTTATTATACTTATTTGAGGAAAATTGATAGACGTCATTAGTAAGGGTAGTAGATCAATAAAGAACTGATTTATAGGTCAAAGACTAAGGATAATTCCACTTAATATTAGCTTAGTCCTCTTTACCAAAAAACTGAAAATGGTCGACTTCAGAGAACCAATTGTCTTTCAGCAAAATCTCTCACAGATCATGAATGGTACAATTTCTGGGTAGGTACCTCAAAACGACAGACCTTTTGGACCAGCTGGAGACTTTTTAGTGAAATGTATGGACTTAATCCTAAAGCTGCTTAACTTTATACGGTAGGTAGTTATTAGGTCCGCTTTTGCCAATATAGCTATTGTATAGTGGCCTACGGCTGGCCTGATCAAAGTAAAGAACACTTAAAGAAATTGCATCGACTGGTGTGAATCGCACGATGGTAACGTTACGCACAGCTTCTAAGAAATATTGTATTCTTCTACCGCTTCCAAAACAGCATCCCATAGTTATGGGGGAGGCTTAAAAGGTAGCGATGATTCCACAATTATTATGGTGAAGGTGTCATAGTGCTCCTCAAAGAACGAAGGGTGGTAAAAGGCCATAAGGTTCTTGAAGCTGTTAGCGACAAAATATATCTCCCCGCATGGTTAAAAAAAAATGGTGCAGATTAGAATAGATTAGGTTTGAAAGAGCTCGTATGATTCACTGAGAAGTCTAACTTAGTTCACAGACACACGAGACATGACAAAGACGTGACCCAATGTAGACATCTATCGTGGATGAGGTATGTAATGAGACCTGCCTAAGCCAAACGGTATGAACGCTGACTAGATGTCTTCTTCCTGTGCCCAGTCTAAGGTAGACAAAGGCTCAGGGGTGAAAATCTTTGATGTAACGTTTTAGGTCGATGTGTTCTATTTTCTGGAGAAGTACGCCATGGCCTTCCTCGCTTCCTTTATTTCCGATTGTGCACAAGAAAATATTATGAACCAACATATTCAAACATGTACAGACAGTCGGGTGGATCTACAAACATTGTTATCTCACATAATAGATGCACGTACAATTTAAGAGCGTGTCAATGCGCTATCCCTGTTGAAACATGACAATTGTATAAAGGTAACATTGAGTTCCTGATCACAGTAATAGGCAAAAAGAGTTGGCATGTTGCCCAGACAGGGCTCAAATAGTCAATATATGGAGACAACCAATGTTCATGTTACATCAAATTATTTAACAAAATCCACTGATAACTGGATCAGAGTAATGAATGGAAAAAGGATCAAGCGTATTTAGTTTGCGACAGACCAGGTTTATTACAGAGGGTCCATGTGCTGATGAAGCAGAAGCAACATTAGATCTGACACAAAACTTTTAACAGATCATGGACAGTTTAAAGAGCACCTCAATACGGGGCTGAGTACCAATATGAGGAGTAGGTGTAGGTTATGTGGATACGGAAACTAGGATTTCATAAAAATTCTCCATAGGCTCAGCCAAATGGGTCGAGATGAGGCCACACTCCACCCCTCTTCATAAACCCTAGAAAATGAAAATGTGGAGATAGTTTTATTAATTATAAGTTAAATATTTTCTAAAAAGTCGAAGAATTCTACAATTTTTCTATAAATTCCAGAGGGGCCCTTTTGGTAAGTTCCTGGCTACGCCCCTGATAACCTGTCATTGTGCTCAACAATTAACAAAAAATATTTCCAAATCTTTTCCTAATACCAATTTTGAAGAAAGATATTCCCAAATGTAAAATATATTTTTTAAATTCTTCTTTTGTCTTCATATTCTCAATTTTTATGTAGTAGTACAATATGATCAACAATAAACACGTATATTTTCTTTTCAAGTTTACAGATTATATCAGTTGGATGTCATAATTTTTTAAAGACGATATTGAATTCCTTGGTTAATACTAGGTGGAATTTATTATATGTACATGGTGTTTAATACTTGCCGTTTTCGAAATAATCAGTTGTTTGCGAAAAAAGTCACGATTTCAGCTCTCTAAATGAGGCTAGATAGCGTCTAAACTGTAAGAATTAGAAACCTGCAGTTTTCATAGTTCGTTTTGGCATAAATTACTCTATCTTGTCATCTGCAAGCAAAAGGTGTACGTTATTCAGACTGGGAAATACTGAGACCTACATTTAATAATCTTACTACTTGAAAAACTTTTTTTTTTCAAATGAACTGACCCATATTAATTGTCATGGGTGAATGCAAAATTGAATGCCCTTTCGACTGATATAAGGTTGTCAATACTTATCTCCAACAGTTTTCCAGAAAAAATCAGGTTCGAAAAAGTAGCTATGTAACAGCGTCAAGAAGGCCTTGCAATTGTGTGAGCACAACGTCGATACATAGGATTTTACAAAATCACAGCACAGTACATCCTTATTGCATCCAATTACACCAAGAGTTACTAAAAGTAGACTTTCAGCGGAGACTGGAGTTTTACCAGTGGGCACTGGAGATGTTAAATCAAGATAATTTTTTTAAAACGGGTCATGTTCTCCGATGAGGCTACTTTTCATCAAAAATGGTTTCGTTAATAGTCATAATTGCCATTATTATGACACAGTAAATCCTCACCAATTCCGAACAACTCATAGCCAACGATGGTCTTTGAACATGTGGGGCGCAATTTTGGGAACTTATGTCATTGGCCCATTCTTTTTTGACCAGCATCTAACTGGAGCAGTTTATTTAAACGTTTTAACAAACACCCTAGAAGATTTGTTAGACGACATTCCTTTAACTACACTTCGAAGAATGTGGATGCAATATGATGGTGCTCCACCTCACAATACCGCTGCGATTCGTGAATTTTTACACGAAACTTTTCCCAACAGATGGATTGGGCGCGGGGGCACTAGTGAAACAAAGTTTACGTTACACCACCAACTACATACAGCGAAAGATATGTTGACCAATATTGAACAGTTTTTTAAAAACCGAATTCGTTTGTGTAATGTGAATTAATTAAAATGGAGGACATTTCGAGCAATTGATGTAAATCAGCGGTCTATGTATTTTTCTCCTTGTTGTGTTCCAAGTTTCAGTTTGTTTCGTTTTGCGTTTTGTGTTAGTTGTTGTTAGTGGTTTACTTTTACCAAACCGCTTTTTAAACATGCCAGTAAATATGGACACTGTCAATTCCACGCCTGATAAAATGTGAGAGAAAAATGGTTTTGCAAGGCCTTCTTGACGCTGTTTTATAGCTACTTTTTCGAACTTCAGAAAAAAAACTGATTTTTTTGGAAAACTGTTAGAGATAAATATGGACAACCTTATATCAGTCGAAAGGGCATTCAATTTTGCATTCACCCATGACAACTAATATGGGTCATTCCATTTGAAAAAAAAAAGTTTTTCAACTCGTAAAATTATTAAATGTAGGACTCAGTATTTTCCGTTATGTAGCGCCCACGCGAAATGGAACACCCTGTAAAGCTAGAAATATTTTCTTTATATGACCCACATGATTCCAGACAACTTTTATTAAAATCATTTTTTTATAAATTTTACAGTTGCAGAGTTACAGAAGAATTCGTCTTAGGTGGAACATCCTGTATTTTATCAAGTGATTCCTAAAGGCTTTAGGAGTTCTTAAAGTAAATGATAAAACAATATTTAATTACATTTGAAGCGGTTTCTCTTACAGGGGACACAATCATGTAGAATTCGAATATGGTTCATCCGATGACGTCAGAATTAGATGCGATAAACTCATTTTGATAAAATATTACGAACTAAAAACTTTATGCTACTTTTTCGATCTAGCCATTGCAATATTATGAGGAGAGCAGCAGACCTTAGATGAGAACCAGAATAATATAAAATTTACCATAAATTTATGCTCAATTAATTTGTAACTTATAAAGAATCCTCTTCACTGCTAAAAACTTTTTTTAGTCGTTGATTTCCTATTGTGTTTGATATGAAAATGTATGAAGAAAGTAAACAAAATGTATAGATGCGGAAGTGCATCGCACGGATGCCGCGCCCAACGCACATAAGAGATCACACTATCATACATTTCACATTTTCTTACCTTACCTTACGGGACACACTGCGTCTCGACATGCGCATTCTATAGCGTTTATGGGAGACTAGCCACTATTGGACCAAAAAAAATTGTAATTTTCCAATTTTTGCAACAACTGTAGAAATTGGTTACCTACTTCAAAACCAACTTTAGATACCACCTTACCTGGTATTTAAACTTTATATACCTAAAGTACTTTATTTGATGAAAGTAACAATTAAAAAAAAAAACAAGGAAAGCAATAAGTACTTATAAACAATTTTTATTGTAACTTAATAATTTGCATTTCACAAACCAACAAACAAAAAATTTCATTAATACGATTAATTTGCACAAAGGCACCATAAACAGCAACAGGCAGACGCCAAAAATTGACATTGTTTTAAAGTACCCTGCTTTGCTATTTATCAGTCGTTCACGCAATAACTTGCAAGTAAATAATAGATTTTAGATGAGAATGATAATAACATACTATCCTGTAAGTACTAAAATAAATACACTTATTCTAATATCACCGCGACATTCCAAAATGCGACTTAACGAATCTTCCGATATACTGTAACGCCAAGAAAGTCTTACTGGGACAAAGTCTTTGTCTCAGCAGATAATAACTCCCTCCTCTGAACAGGATATAGATAAAGACTAAAGCTGCGATGTCCAACCAATAAACGGTGTTTTCCATGCCCATTTCCTTGACAAAGAACTGCAGGTCCGTATAAATGCAGAAGTCCTCAGATTCGGGACAATCCAGTTTCTTTCTGCCTTGCAGCATGGAGTGTATGAGTCCTTCGAGGGAGTAACGGAGATAGCTGAAGTACATGGCAATTTTTATTAAGGTAGGTACTGTGTCGTATCCAGATCCAAATCCATAGACTGCCAAGAGCATTATTGGTACTGTGACAACAGGACCGACAAACATGGCATTCTAGAAAAATAAAGTAAATAAATGGGCATTTTTAGTATAAAGTCTAAAGGTACAGTTTTTTTATTATGGTGTTCATCATCGGCAAAAATATCTAGCTTTCACTATAAGCAACGAACGACGTCGTTATAAGTATTATTTTAATTCCAGTACTGACAATATAAGCTAGCATTTCTCTGCCACCGATGAACGCCAGCAGAATGTCAAAACTAAAGGCGAAACTTATCTTTACTCAGTTTATTGCATTTTATATGTAAAATACGAAACAAATGATAAAACTAACACACCTAATTAAATGACAACATTGTTCCGACCACAGACCTTTTTTTCTTAGGTCATTCAACTTTGAAAAAACTTTTAGATGGGCAGAGTGAATATTTGCATCACAACTACTTTTATTTGTGTGTTCATTAAACAGATGTTTATGTTGCTGTTGGACATCATTAAACGATTTTTCAAATTATACAGGGTGATCACGGTGACGGCCCATTAGAATTATTTCCGCGACTACTTCGATTTGAATTTTGAAAATTTGGGATACCGGGTTTTCAGGCAAGCACCTCTCAACTAAAATAATGGCGTCCACCTACCACTTCCGGTTATACCGGAAGTCGCCATCAACTTGCTTATTTTAAATGGACTTTTATGAAATTTTCCTATTCCTAAAATTAACGAGTAACGAGTAAAATTATTCGAGTAATATACAAAGTAAACAGGACTTTTCAAAAATAGATATTTCCAGTGAGGCCATTTATTAGCATGGAAAGGTATATCCTTCACTGATGTACTGTTAAAATTTCATGACATTTGGACGAATAAAAGCGGAGTTATTGCGTCTGAAGTGACAGTATGTTTGCGGCATCGGTACAAAAATGAGCCTCGAACAAAGAATATAATGTTTTGTTTTAAACTTGGTAAAACTTTTACCGAAACGTTTCAATTGATAAATCAAGTTTATGGTGATGTTCGTTCATTCCGTGATAGAGTTCGTGAGTGGTACGCGCGGTTTTAAAACGATCGTAAAGACATAAATGTCGAGCAACATGTTGACCCAACCGAAATCCCTGATCACCTCAGATTTCATCAAAACTGTGCGTGATTTCATCAAATAACAGCCAAAATCTTCATTGAAATTCATGGAATTGGATTTGAGCATCTCAAAAACATCAATTTATGGCATTTTGACCGAATATTTGCGCTATCGAGAAATGTGTGCACGGTTTGTTCCGCAAAAGTTGACTGACGATCAAAAATGCTCAGAATCCAACATTTGAAGGACATTATCAAAAAAGTTTTTGTCATTTTTGGCCTTTACAACATTGTGACTGGTAATAAAACGTGCTGTTTTTAATATGATCTAGAAATCAAACGCCAAAGTGCGGAGTGAAAAAGAAAAAATATCGTTTGAAGAAGTCAAAAGTAAAGACAATGTTGATTTGCTTTTGCGATTCCAAGAGCATTGTCAACAAAGAGTTCATTCCAACCGTTAATACACAATTCTATCTTGTCGTTTTGAAGCATTTGATGCATTGTATTAGTTGTATTCGTCCAAAATATCGCGCAGAAGGAAGTCGGCGTTTGTTGCACGATAATACGCCTTCTCATCAATCAGCATGAGAGTTGCTTTCGCTGTACAGCATGAAATAAAACGCTCTCTCAACGGTACAAATAATCTATTTTTATTGAAAAACTAAGCTTGTGAAAAAGACGTTGAGGGACGAGTGTTCGTTGGAGAGTCCCTGTGTGTGAAGTCGGTCGTAGGTATATGGGTACGCATCTGGTCGCCGGCGCCAGTAGACCCTTCTTGGAACGCTCGGCGGAGTCTCGCTGGCGCTCTTGACGTTGTACTTAAAAATGGTTCACTTGCGAACATGTGTACCCACAAGCACTTATCAACTGTGAACCACTCCCCGTATTCTCCTGATTTGACACCATGCGACTTTTACCTTTTCAGAAAAATGCATTTGCCGATTAAAGAAAAGTTTTGCGGACGTAGAAGCCATTCGACATGCCTTTAGATCGTCCAAATTGCGGACGGAAAGGAACTATTGTGAATAAAGTAAGTCGGTTTTGCTCAAGAAAGCGTTTGGTTGTTCTTATATTTAAAACGTCCTGTTTACTTTGGAGCGCACCCTGTACTTTAATTACAGTCAAGTCAAATTTATAAAAAAACAATTTATTTTATGTTACTGCTAACTCAAAAACGAAAATAAATATTTTAAAATTACTTACGACTATAGTCAGCTGAGAACCAATGAGCAATCCTAAACTTTCCGAAATTACACCAGTTAACATGCAAACCAGATAGAACATAAGCAATCTGTCTAGTTCCATGGGTTGGTCCGACAGCACGCACACCAGCACCACATACAATGTTCCTAACAAAACCTGTATAGGAATCGTGGAAAAAGTTAACGCAGCAAAATAGGCGCTCAGTCTGTACCATTTATTGAAATGCTCTCTCTTCACCAGTTGAACTTCTCTGGGAACTAGAAACAAATAATATTCACTTCTTATAAAATAAGGACCATCTAAGAATAATTTAAAAATTCACAATTCGTCAGCATTTATATCATAAAAGTATTAGATACCAGTTTTTTTATCATATTATTTTTATTATTATTAGTTCTTTTGGTATTTACTTTAAATGTATTATGCTAATTCAAATTGATTCTAAATGTTTCTCTAAAGTTATCAACAAATAAAGTTACGTCATAAATCTGGACGTATGAAAATCCCTCCTAGTACATGGTTAAGTGAACCCTGTAGAGTAAATCAATATAAAGAAAACCTTGTCCACCGTAAATACCATCTTTTTAGTATCACAAAAACTTGACTTCACATCTTTGATTGAACCGACACAATTGCATTCCTTGTGCCTCCTATTCCACACAATTAACACGAATATTCAAGTTTAGACCTAACATAAGTGTTAAATTTAAGAATTAGCGTGTAATAAATAATAAATGTTTACCATTTCTTATAACGAATTGTACATTTTTAGAGGCGTTGCCAGCCGTACTATTTACATCACTGATAAAAGCCTGTCTTGAATCAAGTATTAACTCCTAAATCTCTAAAGCCACTAAGTCGAGTTAAGTTTATATTGTTAATATTAACTAACGAATTATTTTAGTTACACTTTTGGTGATTCATTAACAATTTATTTTGAGTACACCATCTATGTAAAACTATTAAATCATCGGGGAGCTTTAAATGCAATTAATAAAAAAATAATTTTAAATCCTCGTACAGTAAAGTTTTACACAGGAATCATGTATAAAAACTGGAAATAATAGATCTCCCAAAACGGATCCCTGGTGAACACCTAAACCAAAGGTAATTTTAGCAAACCATGAATTGTTAGTTAGTAAGTATCAAGTTAACAAATTTTTGTAATAGCTGTTTTACATTGACAATTTATTGATCAATTAATTCATGAAGTCGCTTCGTCAAGAAATTGGACAAGTTTAGTGTAATGCACCAAATCTACTGTCAAATAACTTCATGAATTTATTCATCAAGTTCTTGACGAATTAGAGCATGTTCTAATTTTCGTCAATTTCTTCGTGAAGTTCGGAAGTACCAACCCAACAGATTTCCAGCCTCAGATCAGTAATGAGGTTATGTTATTGGAATATGTAAATAATTGTGTGGCGTCGTACTAGTTTTGCATTGTTTTTACTGATTTGTTACTTACAAA